GGTGCTGGGGGATTGAACCGCGGTCCCTGTGCATTGCTGAGCTTGTTCTAAGTAAGTGCTTTAGACCACTGAGCCATCTCACCAGCCCCTCCAAGGCTTTCTAGAAGCCGTCCGCAATCATGTGGCTTCTAAGCAAAATGGTTTCCCTGCCATTCTTGTGGTCTTCTCCTTTCACACCCTCAAGTGCTACCCTGGAACAGAGTGACCTCCAAACTGTTGAGAGGACTCTGTTCAGGAAACACGTTTATTGCTGTCTTGCTGTATCCTTCTGAGAAAGGTCATGACAAACAGCCGACATGGATCTGTGGTAGTATAGAATGTCTAATGAGCCTACTACCCCTGAGCGTAAGTACTAGAGTACCCCACTATATAACACTGTATTATTCTCTTTCTCACAGAAGAAGTCTTCCACTTACAAAATAAGCATGTCTATTCCATGCTAGTCATCTCTCTATTTTAACAGCAAAATCTATGGCAAGATTTTCCTGTTTAAAACATTTAAAATCTGGGGCCAGGGAAATAGCTCAGTAGAATAAGCGCTTGCCTGGCAAGCACAAGGGCCTGAGTTCAATCCCCGGTTCCGCAAAAAAAAAAAAAAAAAAAAAAAAATTCAAAATCACTCATATTTCACTGCATCCAAAAATAAATGTCCCTCAATAGTTTATTTTCTTTCCACCAACTATAGGAAAGACAGCTCTTGTTGCAGCCACCATACCCAACACAGTAATTAGCAGTACACACCAGGCAAAGATGAACTACTGTAAAAAGCACCTACTCAAGAACAAAGCTGCTAAGGACAACCCCCTAAGCTCAGGCTCCCAAAATAATTTTTCATCATGCAAAATAAATTCCAAAGTGACTTGAATTTAAATAAAATGCAACAAAAGAATGACAAGAGGGCTGGTGAGATGGCTCAGTGGTCTAAAGGACCTATTTGAACAAGCTTAGCAAAGCAAAGGGACCACGGTTCAATCCCCCAGCACCACATGCCAGCCAGCCAGCCAGCCGCGCCCTCTGGTGG